ACCGTTCGCAGTAGGCGAAGAGTGTCTCCCACCGCTTGTCGATTATCTTCTCCGATTCCATGAAGGAGGAGTCTTTGCCCGAAAGAGCAAACCTCGTCCGGGTCTTCGCAGCTCGTCAGTCTCTGTTCCGCGCTCAGGTACAACCTCTCCATCACAGAATCATGGCCTTGGACGTGGGTCAATACGGCGGCGGCGTCGACGTACCAGGAAACGTCGTCGTAATGCAAGAGTTCGGGTCCTCCACCACCTCCTCGGTATCCGTCGACGAACTCGAAGAGAAGCTTGGCGACGACGTCGTTTCTGGCTACGTTGGTCAGATCCAGCGTCAGAATCGGAGTTTCGACGGACCGAAAACCGGCCTGCAACAGAAACATCTCCAAAGTCCGAACATGTAGCAGTCACGGCCCCACAGCCATGCGGATCGTCCGCTCTCGTACATGCTTTCTTTCTCTCCGACCCGAATGCATAAAGACAAAGTCATCTCTCCGGGAGTCTCGGATTCGAAATCGCGGATCAATTCTGCAGCCGACCTTGTCCTCTCTAACACACGTTCGACTCCGTCCTCGTACACCTTTATTCGCATAGTCAGCGACATGATTCCTCTCGTGTTTCAAGCGTCCCCTTTTATATACGTCGTTCCATTTTTGAAAGCTAACGAGACGATGTCGTCATCGATATCTTACTTACGTCATGCGTCACCGGACGAGAAGTGAAAGTGCTATATAAATAGAAGCTGGAGACGAGTTGCAAAAAACAGAATGGAATAATGTCGCAAGAGTAGATGTACTCGTCTTTGGTTGAGAGGGTGAAAACTCTGTGGTCGGCCGACTCGCTCGTTGTCGAGAACGTGTTGCGTGCGTTGGGTAATAGCAAGACGGAAAAGGTGACGATGTCGAAGGAAATTAGAACCGAAATGATACTACAATTGACTCTTTTGAAAAAAGAAGTTCGGTTCCTTGAAAATTTTGATGCTCGCCATAAAAAAGATGCAACCTTCGAGCTCGAAATTACAAAAAAGAGGGAACCCAACAAGCCGGTTTGAAGTCTGCCAACAAACTGCGCGAAAAAATTTCCGTCGCCGGATCGCAGATTATTACAGAAAATTGTTCGCCCAACACCTACACTTGAAATCGACGGCGAGAGAATGCGAGACGATCCTGAAAGTGGCGACCCCTTGTTAATTGTTTCAATAAAGGTTGAAAATTTGAACCTTGTGTGCCTTTTGTGTTTCTTTTTTAGCGAATGTCGGCGTAAGATCTGATCTCCTAGTATTATAGAGAGCGATCTACATCTTTCTACGCTTGTCAGCGAAATAACAACAAAAAACTTACACGAACATAATTTTTTTTTTAATATTTTACGTAATTTATTCATTCAAACGTCGTATAATGTACAATTTCTATTATCTTGGTTGCTGTACATTTTTTTCTGCTCCATCAGTTCGTCAAACTTCGATACCTTTCCACAATGAACTCAATCAGGAACCACAATACCACTATATAGGTTAGGCAAAAAACAGACTCCATTAAATATTTAACAGATGCGATGAAAATTCTCTCTTCTTCGAGTATCGACAACCTTTCTCCAAGCAATACGTCATTCTTCTTCGCCGCCACGGCCAAGCCTTTTTCAAGTACTCCTATATAATCTTTTCTCTCCTCCATCTGCATCTGCAGATTTCTTATCCGTTCGTCGTCCGCCATCGATTTCTACAGTACGACGTCAACAGTCAGAGTGAACGAAATCCACGAGTATCGCTCTTAAGTAGAATATAACTATGATGACGGTATGTATGCCGAAAGGCAACCGAGGTAGAACTACGGTTACATCAAAAGAAATTGAAACGAAAAAACACGAAGTACCGAGATTGTAGCATATTTTATTTTTAATTACTACGCCGAATTCACACGAAGATTTCGGTGCCGACCGGCATGTTTGCAGTGATCGCTTTGTACCGATCGCTCACGTCGGTTCGACGAAGACGGACGAAACACGTGTTCGTGACCACCTCATCGATGTCGGTGCCTTCGAGCCTATATCTCTTCGTCCGCTTCCGGGATTCCACCGAGTTCATCGATGACAACTTCGTCTTGCTGAACTTGTTCAGCTCGTCGGAAACAAACCGTTCGAATTGGGTTTCGAAATGATCAGTTTTGGCGTTCTCTTTCCTCTCTTTATTTACGAAACAGGACGGTAGGAGGGACGACGACGGTTGGACAACTAAGCCCCGCCCACTAGTGATACTGCGCACGCGTGAGCTGTTTGAACCGTCGTCGTAAAGCCGAGGACGACTGGAAAATTGATGTTTTACCGTCCACAGTGAACGAAAAGTAAACAAAACAAGAATGACTTCTCAATTTCCTTCAAAAGGTATGTATATACTTATATTTATTGTTGAAATTGAGTGATTCTGTGGTTTAAAAATTTAAAAAAATATTTTTCATAATTATGATTCAAATTTCCCATATTTTTACTATTTTTTTAGCCCAAGTTAAGCCTTGGCTCGCCTCGATTCTAATGTTTAGGCCTAGGCCTATCATGCCTCCTAGCCTTATCAAGCATAGGATAGGCCTGCCTGCGGCCTATTGCTTGTTGTTGTGGTCCTATCTGGACGGTCAGCTATCCTAAGATAAGGCTGAGTGAGGTAATACAAGGCCTACTACTATGCATAGCCGATCCAGGCCGATTCCATATATTTTTTTCTTTTTCATCAGCTATGCCTAGGCCTAGGCTACTACTCTACTAACTAGGCCCTACCTAAAAATGGACAGCTAGGCTAGATCTGGTAGAGGTTGCCTGGAGTGATAGGCCTCTCTCTACTCTTATCTGGCTAGGCCCAGCAGCAGATGTGGCCTTCTAAACTGAAATGTGTGAGGTGAATCATGATATTAATAATAGGTTGTCTCAAAATTCCATACTATGTTATATTTTCCAGAGGCAGAGCTGCGGAAAACTTACGAATATGGCAACTACATTCCTGGAAATGGCACATTTTGACTTTAAAGAGATGGGTTATGTTTCAATTTTTGGTTTTTTCTGTTGCTAAGTTTGTTTTTTGGGGGGGTTGAGTGGAAATTAGTATTGCTGGCTATGTGTACAGTGTAATGGTCTAGTGTCCTAATGTTTTTCTAGGTGTGGCATTTGGTTTTCATGACTGTTATGTATTTTTTTGCGTCAATTGATTATTGTACATATATTGGTCTGGAGTTTTAATGTTTTTCGCTGTGTGGTGTTTGGTTTTCTCTGTTGCTAAGTTTGTTTTTGTGGGTTTGAGTGGAAATTAGTATTGCTGGCTACATGTACGGTGCAGTGGTCTAGTGTTCTAATGTTTTTCTTGGTGTGGCATTTGGTTTTCATGTTATGTGTGTTTTTTTTTGCGTCAATTGATTATTGTACATATATTGGTCAGGAGTTTTAATGTTTTCCTCTGTGTGGTGTTTGGTTTTTCTGTTAATTGTTATGAAATTTTTTGTGTAAATTCATTATTGCTCTTTTATAGGTTGTTAGGTGCTGTGTTTTTTGTGGCGTATTATTATAAATGCTATAAAAACAATGATAATGACAAGCTGTAGTGACATAATTTAATTTGCCTTTAACATTATTTTTTTGCTCTTCTTTTTTCCTGATATGCTTTATACTTTTATCCTTTCATCTTACCACCAGACATCCATTGTTCCTGTGAGAAGCCATCATTCAAGATAGAATATCCAGGGAATGAACTGGCTTTAATGAAACTCCTGGTTTCTATACTGTTCTATTTTCTACTTTATGTTTTTAGACTTTGGCAAGAATGAAGAAACATATTTAAGCGCATTGGTAAGTTAGTAGCTGTTATAAGTAATAACAATAAAGTTGTATCTTATCATATTTATTGTTATCTTTCAGCAAAAATCCAAATTTCCCCTAACAAAAAATGGTCTAATGACAAGGATGACTTGTTAGTAAAGGAAATGCTAACATTGGATCCTTTCCAATACAAAGAAAGAACGCAACAACGGGGGAAAGTGTGGAAGGAGATTGCCAGCAATCTACCAAAAATTGATGGAAGGTCCGTAAGGGATAGGTGGAACCTGCTAAAAGAAAAGTTGAAGGCAAAACTTGATGGTGAGGAAAGGGGTTCGGGGATAGCTCCACCAGACCTAACTGAAAAGGAGAAAGGCATTGAAGACCTGATGAATCAGGAGAAAGATGCAACCACAATGAAATCAGAAGGTGATGCAGCAGCAGCACGAGTGGCGGGTGAGGAGATGAGGAAACGCTCGTTAGAAACATTTCAGGAAACAAAATCAAGGTATTAAAAATGATGAAACATGACATGTTGAAGACATTTACAGTAATTCAAATTCATTTGTCCTTAAAGATATATTGTCTGATGAAACCCAGAAAACCTTGAAAATTAATGCAACAATTGAGTTCCTCCAATGCAAGATGGAGGCCGATGCAGAAGCGAAAAGAATCGCACAAGAAGCCCAAGTTAAAGCTCAAGAAGCCCAAAATAACGTAATGACTATGGTCATGCAACAAATGGAACTCACTCGGCAACAAATGCAGCAACAAATTGAAAACCAAAACAAACAAATGGAATTAATTCTGCGACTTCTTGAGAGAAAGTAGACTGCTTGATCTTCATCTGGTAGTTTAATATCTTGATTTTGTTTCCTAAATTTTTTCTGACTTATTTTCCCTCATCTCCTCACTGGCAGCTAATGCTGGTGCTGCTTCACCTTCTCATTTCATAGTGATTGCATCTTTTTCACAATTCATTAAATCTTCAGTGGCCTTTTCCAATTTTAGTCAGATTTGGTTGGCTATACCTAGGCCCTATAACTTTTCAAACAAGTCTTTCTACACTGCTTTAAGGCGGTCCACCATGACTCTTACAGACCTACTGTTCAAACTAATTGATTGGGTAAGATTGCTGGCAATCCTTTCATTGTTTTTCCCCTAGTTATTAAACATCATCTGTGTATTCACCATTTTCCTTAATGGCATGGCGCTCTAACTTTTGTAGCAAACCTGATTCTCTTAGCATAAATGAGTCATGCCGACTTCCCTCAATTGGACCAAATAGATTAGCTATTAGACCATTTGGTGTTACCACGGATTGGAATTTCAGGGAGTGGACACGCTTATGGCCATTGTAAACGATCCGCTGATGTTCTCCGGGCTTGCAAATTGGGCGTAAAGTTCCATCTACAAAACCCCAGCAATTCTGAAGGGCAGCACCGGCGGCATAGATAACATTGGAAAAATTTTCCAAATGTTCAGCCTGTAGCCAAGGATGGTCCAAACTAGTTAAAAGGTAATGAAACCGATCGTACACTTACCGCATAATCATATTGGTAATCATGCAAATTTGAGGAATCGGCCTTGCAAACATAGGCACCATATCAATGTACCTGCACGGATAGGCAAACCGCTTCAGCAGTATACACAGCATTTCAATACCCTGGATCTTGAGGCCGTTTGCACATTTGATCTCATCGTCAATCTTTAACGCCATCTTAAGACGATATATGTCGTCCTTCATAAATCTATATTAAGAAAAAAAATACACTATTATTAAACCTGAGCCCAATAATCCTCCAACCTGGCCCTCCTCACACATGGTGATATTTATTTCATTTGTCACACTCACGTATATGGCAATAATGAAGATTTATATTGTCTTCTATAAAGCTGAGGGCCTAGGCATATATACATGTGTGTTTTTTGGGAGGGGGGTGGTTTTTTTCTATCCAACCTAGGCCCTAGACTAATTAGTAATATGGAATGTTGTATATAAATGAGTATTTAAAAAGTATTTTTAAAAAAAAGCAATTTTTTTTTTTTTTTGGCAAGGCTAACCATGTTAAGAAGCTAGTTTGACTATCTAGGCCCATACCAAGAGAGAAACGAAGAATATATGAGACAACCAAACCTAGGCATAGTAGCTTGGTAGGCCTACAAACCCCTCTCCCCAGGCATCAGATAGGGCGACTTAGCTAGAAAATAAGGGCTCGGACTAGGCCTATGCTAATAAAAGATCGCAAAAACTCTAGCTGGGGACTAGGCCTAGGCCTAGCCTAGCCCAGGCCAAAAAAATTAAATAAGGACCACACCTGAAATAAGCATTGCATTCATCGTCCGTGTATGATTCGAGGTAAAACTTGTTGTACTCCTTGTAGGGTACATCAATATTGTTATTTGTGTTTAGATCACTCAACAAAAGGTACTCCTCCGGCTCAAGCACGTCCTCTGCAAGCGCAACAAACAGCAGGTCCATCACGTTGGAAGCCATGTTTACAAACAGGTCAATCAAGCATGACGTCGTCCCTAGATACGTAAACGAGAACAGAAAGAGCACGACAGGCTGGAATTTACGCATCAGTGAACATCGGTAGTCCGTCGTCGTCCCTCTACCGTCCTGTTTCGTAAATACTCTACTATTTTTATTTCGACGGATGACGTAATGATGTCATCATGTGTAATCGGAATCGTTTTTCACCTCTTCGCGACGTACATCAGGAACACCAAGTCTTCGATGTCGTCGGGATCGGTGACTTTCGATCGTCTGACCGCATCCAGTTCCTCTTTCCGTTCGGTGCGCACGGTCAGCGCGTGCGAGAAGATCCAGCAGGCTACGGTCGCCCACCAGTAGGCGGTGAACGGCAGCAGCGAGACGAACGACTGCAGAGGCGCCACGTGAAAGAAGCGGCCGGCGACGGCCACGCACGCGCGAGACGCCGGCAACGCCTCGGCGAGGAGAGCGGCAGGAACCACGACGGACGCGATCAGAATCAGAGTTCGCATCCAGAGCTTTCGTTTCGGCGGCTCAGAGTACGCCCATTCCAAGTACATGGCGGACAGCTGGCACGTGAGCATCCTTCTCCAGAACATCTCGCACTCGACCGACCGGCGCGGCAACGTCGTCCCGAACACCTTGCTCCGGTAGCCGAGCACTCGCACGTACGTCTCGAAGTCGGGAGGCGCCGGTCTGCTTTCCGAGAGGACGCTGTCGAAGTGATAACGGAGCACGTTGGCCGCGACGTCGGCCATCCTGTTCGCGCCGAACGTTCATTCGAGGAAGTCGAACGGCAGGAAGGACAGGACGAAGAACGACGCTCCGACACAGATCACCACCTTCATCAGCCCGTCGGATCCAGTTCGCGGTTGCAAGTGCGGGGGACACTCTTCCTGACCGACGACGTAAGTTTCGTGGCATCCGTACTTCCTGTATCTCTCGACGGCGAACGTCTCATAGAACAGGAACGAGAAGGCGGCGCACGCGAGCATCGTTAGACTGGCTCTCCTCGCGAACTTAGATCTCACCAACCACACGGTGGACGCGGACGCCACGCGTTGGATGGAACGCAAGCGTCTCAGACTCATGTTGCCCTAAATATCATGTCTCCTTCGAAGACTGTAAATACTTCCCTGACCATGCCGTCTTGCGTCGCGTGCTCGAACGTCGTGTGCCCGATCCTGAAGAGTGGCGGCGGAGGGAAGCTTCGGTCGGACGGCACGCTCGTCGTCGTCTTGCGGAACGCCGATCCGCCGGCGAAGTTGCCGTCCCCGTCGTAGCACCTGACGTACGCGTAATCTCCGACGTTGTTCAACGTGCATTTTCCTTCCGAACACAAGACCGAAGCGAGCATCGAAAAATCGTCCGTGGCGTGCATGCTGCACGTCGCCGATCCCGGTAGAACCGCGAGCACGGCGATCACCTTTCCTTCCGACACAGTCAGCTTCGAAACCGCCCCGGTGCCCAAGAATTCGACATCGTCGACTGCCAGGTCGGGCGTGAAAGCACACAGCATCGCCAGAAATGTCGCCGACGCGATCGCAACGAAGGACAGAGGAAAGTATAGCGACACCATCTGAGTACGTATGTGCGAATTGTTTTTTCTATATAATACCGTTAATGAGAACCGATAATTAATCACTTCAACGATGTCGATCGAACTGGAAACACGTAACCGTAATATGGATTTGGACAAAGACGATGCACGCTGAAATACTTGCCGACGGAATACTTGGATTGGGTGATGCACACGTGCGAAATGTGGCCGGAATCGAGAACCATCGAGTACACGGACGAGGAGGCGATGAATCCTTGGAATTTCCCAGGATCAGACAAGTTGGAATGCGGGGTCGGATCCGTCACCAGCTTTGACGCGTTCATGGAGAAGTTCAGACGGACGCCGGTTTTCGCCAAGGTCGTCTATTCCGTGCTCGAGTCGGTGACGAACGTGCACCAACGGACGAGCGACAACGGACTCACCGTCCTCAAATGCGTCGAGGCGTGGGACCGAAGAGAGGCGACCGACATACTCAAGGTGAAATCCGTCCGTCTGTCCGCCGTCGAGGGAGACGAATCGCGTTCGAAATGTGCGGTCGAGTTCTTAGATAAGCACGGCAGCAAGACGAAGACTATCAGCACTGGTTCGATGGGCCTCATGTACGAACCCAACCTTGGCGAGCTGGGCAACTACGTGACGTCCGAGGAGAAGCAGAAGAGGATGCAGACCACCGGCTGCAACCAGATGTTCGAAGAACGGGTCGGTACGACGGACGTGAACGCAGCCAGTTACTCGTTTAACCTCAACGGAATCTACAATCCCGAAAACGGGTGGGTTCATGATGGCGAAGATGGGACTGGTGGCCATCTTGATAGACGCCCTGTTCTTCCACCACGCGGCGACCGCGTGGATGTCACACCCTAGCTACAATGAGTGTCACGACTCCGGCAGCAAGTTCAACGTCGATCGCTTCTTAGCCGGATTCGTAAAGAGATTCAGGGGTCGTTACGGATCGAAAGAGGTGGCGGACGGGGCCGGCGTTTACCAGAAGTTCAAGCTTCCCGTCGAGGGATCGCCGAGATGCCCGCAGATCAAGATGAAGACTGGCACCAGCTTCAGAAAGGCGAACGACCTCGCTCGGTCGCGCAGTTCAATGGAGGAAAACAACCCGGATATCAAGCACGTGTCTGATTGGGCGAAGAACGCCTTCCTCGAAAACGCCGACACGGACAGGAGGTACAAGAACCTGCCGGTCGCCAACCTGATACCCGGTCTGCCACCGAAGCCGATGTCGGGTAAGTGGCGGTCCGAGATAGTCAAGAGAGATCTGGCGCGCGTGAGCTTCAACGTGGTCTGCTACTCGGACAAGTCGACGCCGACCAACAGGTTCCTCGTTCTGTACTGTCCAGTCGCCGTGGACGTGACGCGCCGCTGCCTTTTCGCCGGTCCCGTATCCGACTCGGACGCCAGCTACGACGAATTCTTCTCAAGACCAGCCATAGAATCGCCACAGACCATCGTGGCCATAGTGAACGGCATATTGGAGAGGGAGGCATGCACTGAAGACGAAGCGTGTCTGATGGCCGGAATCGACATCGGCGATTACAAGCAAGCGTTCGAGATGGTCGAGGCCACCAAATTAGAGATGATGGAGTAGAGACATATCGATTACGCCGTCGACGAGGACAAAGGGAACGAGAACTTGGACGGAGACGCAGACTTGAACAAGGAAAACATTCCCCCTTGCAACGGAAAGCGTGGTTCCGATTGCGACGAGGTGGTGAAGAGGAAGAAGAAGCTGTTCTCAAACCTCAATAATACACAGTTGTAAAAAAAAAAGAACATAAATCGATAGAAATTAGTTCGATAAAAACTAAGATAAATTGAAATTGAGGTCAATAAAAGTGTTTACGAAAAAAAATAAATATTGTGTTCACTTGTCGTTATTCTTTCGAGTTTTCGTATATACAAAGACCGCTTTGGAATAACCGCCATTGCAGAAATGAAGGCCGTCGCGAACGCTGCCGCGTCAATTTCGGAGGTACAGGCACGCAGATTCTCGCTGAGATCAAGGCAAATGAAGCTGACGATGCACCTGAGGAAGCGGCCGCATCCGAGAGCGAGCATTTGGTGTTACGATCCGAACGGTGATTCCGGGAAGAGTTTCATGGCTACATACCTTGCGGCAGTCGAGAACGCGAGTCTTTCGTTCATGCGAGACGCACGAGGACACGTACGGGTACGGGGGTCAGAGGATAGCTGTGTTCGATCTCGACCGCCGCCAGAGGAGACGCGTCGATTACGAAGTGCTGGAAGGTATCAAGAACGGTCTGGCTTTCGGTGCGGAACGTTTCGCCCCGACCAAGTTCTTCAAATTCGTGCCGCACGTCGTCGTGTTCGCAAACTTTTCGCCAGATCGGCGCGCACGATCCGACGGCGAATGAGATCACGACAAATGAAAAATGTAACTGTTGCTATGAGATTAGGGACAATAACAAATAAATATCCGAGCTAAAAGAAAAATAAATGTATTCTATATATTTTTTTTGTATTAATTGGTGTACCCACGCAAAAGTAAAACACACTATGGACTCATAATTCACATTTAATATTTTTTTATTGATATCCTTTCATCGTCAAACATTTAAACTATTCATAACTTGATCTTAAGTTGGAGGTGCTTCGAATCCGGAGATGCGGACCACGACCCGAGTGTGACGATCGCAGATAACTTCTTTCCAGTTATTCTCAACTTTCTTCCACAGGCTCGCGATCCAGTACAGCCACCACCCGTTCACGGAGTTGAGACAAACGAGAAGGCACCAGAAGACGCCGATGCTGAACTCGCACAGCTGACTCGACGTGGATTTCTCGTGGAAGATCGACGACGCAGAAACCAGAAACACCGGAAGTACCAGGTTGAAAACTATCGTGAAGAGAAAGTGGAGGTTGACGACCGTTCGAAAAGATCTTTTCCTCGGCCTCTCTTGGTCCCAGAACTTTCTCATGACGATCAAAATTCTCCACGTGGCTCTGCTCCCCTGGGCGCACATCATTACCACGGACATCGTGTGCTTCTCTTCGACGAATATCGATATCAGCATCAGAAGATGGTGACGATGTCGTACAAGCATTCTTCCCACCGGTGGACGGCATCGAAAAGGAGAGACTCTACGAATTTGAACGAGAAGACACCCAGCGCCACTGCGAACATGACCTGCACGTCCAATCGTTTCACCAGACTGCGGTCGTACATCACACCCGACTTAAAAACCATCATCACCGCGACGACCGGTAAAAATATGCTTGAGTAACATTGGATGAATCTGTCCGGAAAGGAGACAAAAGAAAAAGAAAGAATGAATTTTCAAGGACACGAAAAATAAAGCAATCAAAGTTTAAAAGAAAAACAAAAAAATGACACTCACGATCTGCACACGAGGAGTTCGTTTCGACGATAAAACGAGTCGATCCGATCATACCGTATTTTTCTGAAGACAGCGATGAACGAGGCGTACAGACGTTGAGGGTCAAGAGAAATGCCGTCGTCACCGTCGGTTCCCACATGTTAAAGCGTCGATCACGAGTGCGATGAGAATTGTTGTCGCGATGAGGACATA